CCACTTCCAGAAACAGGTTCACCCCCCCCACACACACACACACACGTATGCCAATCCCCCAATGCAGTTTCACATCTGTTCTTTCTTAAGTTTTTCTATTTTGCCTTGTCTCTCTGTGCTGTTTAAGTGAACAGTTTCACTTTCCATTTCTAAGGAAAAAAAAAAGCCAAAAAAACCTCCCGTTTTTGATTACATAAAATAACAAACAGGGAACAAAGGCATGACACAAAACACCAGATAAGCCAAAATCCCTTACTTTTGGCTGTGGAACACAACACATCCACCGGACACATTTTTACATGATGCCCCTCCTGATAGTCTCAGCTGCTACTACCTTCTTCCAAGAAAAAAAATTAGTTTTTATATATTTTGTATTCACTTACATGTTGTCTGTCGCAGCAGAATATAAGCTCCTTAGGGAAAAGCACTGTTTCATTTTTGCCTTTGTATCCTGCCACATAGTAGGCATGCTAGAAATGCTTAGTGATGGACTGCTAGAAAACAGGCCTCTATCTCAAGAGAGACAGTGAAATAGTAAAAGCAACGAACCTGGAGTCAGAAAACATGGGTTTGAGTAACAGGACTATCACCTAACTAGTTGTATAACCTTGCATGAGATCTCTAAAATAGCCTCACTGGACTATCTCAAAAAAAGCATTTTTAAAATTTCAAAGAGCTATGTATTATCTTTTCTAAGCCTACCTCCAGCTCTTCTAGCTACATCCTAACCTCTTTTGATGAGAAGGCAAAGGACTTAAGATAACGTACATCATTAAAAATATATTTAATTCCTAAGTTAAATGCAAACTCATATGCTGATGTTATTTCAATAATGTGTAAAACTACACCTTTTAAATGCCTTCAGAAGTAATTTTATTTTGCTCCTAAAGCCAAGATGTTAAGGAAAATCTCTGACATGCCTTGAAAGGCAATAATAAAGGTTTTGTGAGATTTGAACCACTTGTTTTCCCCATATCAAAATAATCTTATAAAAAATGCTTCTAGAAGTATTCTTTCAAGTGATAGATAATATACATTGAAGAGACATTAGGAAATACAAAGAAAAATATTTCTAATGCTCTTACATAATAAAAAGATATCAAGGAAGATTAGAGGTGAAACAGATCAACTCTCATACTGCCATATCTTCTAGGTTTCGAATAAAAACTGACACTAACAATTTCTTATAAATTTCAGAATTATTAGACTAGTTATGAGAGAATCAGAATATGATTAACATAAAATATCCATGTCTAATAAAATATTTGATTTTTTTAAATAATATCTTTATGTACCTGATATAGTAATGTACATGGACATAATGCCAGTATGTGTAGATTCAGAGTTGACTGACCTATAGCCAAAGAGATTAAATATCAATCTGGAAGGAAGTTTTTAGTAGCATAACACAGGGCTCTCAATATAGGATCATCATTTCTATAAAAGTATTGGGTGAATATATGGGATACTTATCAAAACTGCAAGTGACAATGCTGACTGTATCGACTAACATCTTATAAGAAATTAGGATATCTCAACGAGTATACAGGAATAAATCACCTAGTAAAGCACTTCATACACTCAATAAATGTCTTGAATGCAAGGTTCATCCATTTAGGTTCAAAAAAATGAGTTGTACAGGAAGAGAAGAAGCTTGACAGAAGTTCACGTGAAAAGAACCTTAGGAGTTTTCAATGACTACACATCAACAAGGTAAAGCTACTACTAAAAACATTAAAATAACAACAACAAAAATTATAGGGCTTCATTAATAAAAGTATAGTGACCAAGTCAAGAGTGGTAACAAATCAACTAATAGTACTAGGTGCTGATCAGACCAAATTCTGAAATGTTGCATCTGCTCTGAGTACCACAGAAATACTAACAAACTAGAAGGCATGCAGAGGAAGCTCATTAATATGGTAAGATGCCTGGAAACCACAAGATGATAAGAACACTTAGGGAACTATGATGTTCAGCCTGGAGAAGAAAAGATTTAGTGAGAGTGTAAAGACTACCTTCAAATTTCTGAAGTGTTTTCATGTTAAAAGTCACAACATACTTGGAGTGGTATTATTCCATGAGGTAGAGTTAGAACCAATGGGTAATTTCTGTTATATTTATATCAACATAAAAAGTAACTTTCTAATATTTAGAGATAATGAATAAATCAAAGGGACAGAAGGGCATAAAGGAATGGGGGGGGGTGCCTAAAAAGGTTGGCATTAGAACTGAAGCAAAAGCTTGGGTGACTATCAGGATATCTCAGAAAGGATTCCTGCACTGGATAGGATTTTGGACCAAATGACCTCTGAGGTGCCTTCCAATTTTGAACCCTATGAACACTATAGAACCTTCTAAGGTTTCTTCTAAATCCAAGATTTTGTTTTCATAATTAAAAAAACAAACTATATTTCAGCTTCAAGACACTCAGTATATAGTTGAAACAAGTTATAATTATATAAGTACATTTATTAGAAAAAGTTAACTTAATCCAACTTTTTCTTCTCTTAAATTTAATACATTTTTATGTGTCATAATGTTACATATTTTTTTAAAAAACTCCTTTAGGTACATCAATACTTATTCAAATCATATCATCCAACAAGAGAAAAAACCCTATAATTAGTTAGTAGACTTTAGAAAATAAACTTCTCCATACCATTCATTACTATTTTAAGTATATTAACATGTTTTAAATATATTAAATTTAAAGTTCACCCTCACAAGTGGCTATAAAACTAAGTAGAAAAGGCACAGGAGTTATAATCTGAGAACAACCTACAGCAAATGTATAATCTTATTAGATACCACCATTCAAAAACAAGGCAGAAGTAGCACCTAAAATTCAGTTAGGAGTCCACAGGACTAAGTCAGATACAATATTACTCATATAATTATTATTATAAAAAATATAAACAAAGAATTTAAATATCAGACATTAAAAAACAAAAGATTTAAAACCCTGCAATCTTACCATAACTTATATTTTGGTACATTCTCATAGCTAAGTTCCTAATGATTTCAATCCAAAAAAAGAATAAATTGTTCAGAACAGCAACAAAGATAATGTGATAAGGGAATATGACACAGCTCTTCATTAAAAAGGCATAGACAAAGTTTAAAAGAAAAATCACACTTACAGTCATATACACCAAAGATATATACAGAGATAATTAGTCATCTAAAGTACATCACAACAAAATGTAATAAAACAGTGTCTTTTTTTCCTCCACATAAATGTTTTTGGATATTGTGCAATTTATCTGCTAAAAGGAGTTACAGAAAAAGGAAGGTAATGATTTTTCAGAGTAACTTCATTTGAAGGATATCACTTTAAAAAAATCTTTGAAAAAATTATTTTAATCTTCAAGCAACTAGAAAAACACACAGGTCCCTTGCTGACCATGTTGTACAAATATTAAGCCACAGTCCTGACTGATGATGATACCCTGTGCTAGACTCCATGGAGAACAGGCTTGTCAAAACAGCAGAGGAATTTTCTTGAAAGTAACATCAAAAAAGGAAGAAAAAGCATCATATAAAAATGTTGTTGGTAGTCCTACTACTGATCCAATAGAAAAGGTTATAAAAGCTGGAGGCCTAAGATAGTCAGCATGAGTCACTTGAAAGTTGACAAGAAGGGGCTCCAGAACTGTGCTGAAGAAGAAACTTGAAAAGAAATTAATAAAATCATATTCTTTTAAAGGCCAAGTTTGATTTCACATTCTGTCAATAGATAAGAGATTACGAGTTTTTCTGTCATCAAATGTGTTTCGCTTTTAGACTCGAGAAACAATTAGACACAGCCCAGATCATTTAAATTAAGAAAGTTATCATCCCTGAGTTAACAATATAAATACAGTACATTGATTTAGGTGTGCAATATCTGGAATTCCAATATATGAAATGACATTCAAGTTAAAAACAACCTAAGAGACAGGGTGCAAGAATTGAAATAGATGCAGCATTCAAAGCCAAGTGGATTATTTTTTTTTTCATGGAGCCTATGCACAACGTTTCTAAATTCAACCACTTCATTTTCTAAGTTTCCTGGAACTGTAAGAAATTTTTAAAAACAGTGAAATTAAAGTATGTTGACTTTGTAGTATCGTGGAGTTGTTTTTTTTACTTCATAAACACAAATATTTAAAAGCTTAACCAGCTCCTTCCCCTCAAAAATCAAAGAAACATTTCTTGAGGGAAGGGGGGGGGATCTTTGTCCAGAATTATGACTTTACATTAAAATCATGTATAAAGAAACAATTTTAAGGGAGTTTGTCCCATGCAATCACTGATAAGAAAATAGATATGTCTGTATGTATATCTATATATATAGACATATATGTGCATATATGTACAACTATATGTGTGTATTTTATATACATATATACACCCACAGTTAATATAAATATAGTAGCTCAGAAAAAAATTACATATAAAGATACATTCCCAGAAAATGTAATGATCCTTAAATTCTAATAGGATGCCTAATCCCAAATAACAATGCAACAACAAATAATATTAAGGCCTTCTCAATTCAAAAATTAGGAAAAAGTCCTCTAGGAGTAAATTTGATAAATGAAGATTGGCCTATTTTGACCTAAGGTTTAACAACACCTTTTTTGATCACCTTCTGGAATGAGGCATTGTCAAGCACATATTGTTAGTGTGAAGAGTGACATACTGGTTTCCTTTTTTTCTTCTTTAATTATTTCAGTTTTTAAAAGAATAAAATATTCTATAGTCAATATAATAGAAATAAGTTAGGCTTGGTTTCCAACCAAAACTATTACCTACGCCTGGATAAAGTCCTCAAAACTTCTCACTCATTCTATTTCCAGGGTAATAAAGTGAAGTTGCAAGCAATCCCCACATTAGGAAAATTTTCAACCCACTGTTTTTACAGATCTAGACATTTTAATCCAAAAAAGTCTTTGTGCATCACAACGTTTCTATATTTCAAAAGGTCAGAAAATAAAACATCAAGCTTTTGTGAATGCCTTTAAAAAGTGTCTTTATAAAAAAAAAACCTCTCACTGCTAGAATTTAATCAAAGTGCTACCAATATGAACACACATCAGACAAATAAATTAGAAGCTAATTTATTTCTCTGGTTTATTTAACAATAGTCAAAGCCTAAAACATTAAATAAAACATAGCCAATGGGCAAGACTGACAACAAGGGTTTTAAAAATAAAAACAAAAGCAAAAAACAAAAACAAACAAAAAACAAAAACAAAATGCAATGAGACTAGTCTCATTGGAACAGTTTACAGTTTCATTATTCAGAGATTTCAAGGAACAGAACAGTGCACTGTACTGCTATTAAAAAAAAACACAACTAAGGGCAAATACAAGTTGCACTGTACAGTATTTCCAGCCTTAGGAGTCTTAGAGTGCAGAAGGGAGGTGAAATCCTACCAGCCATATTCTACCATGGTCAATCTGGACACCACCTTCTCACCTCCAACATGACAGTGTCCCAGTACTTTAACAATGAATTACAAAAAAGCCTAAAATTATACAGTATGTTGTAATAATTAACATCATGTTTTCCTTTAAAAGGAAATATTTCCTCTGGTTGCTTTTTAGCCTGCAAATTTATCTCCTAAAATCATGCATCACTGATGACAGAGACCAGATGCTATCCTCCAAAAGGCACGTGAAATTCTCACCAATTCCAGGGTTGACTTTTTTTTTTTTAAACACTCACATATCTACAACTCCAACCCCAGGGCAGAATTTAGTTACTAGCTAAAATGGTCATTGCCAAACCATTTATATGCTGTCTTTCCCAATATGGGTTGCTTAAATAGATGCACAGAACAGCCAGTGAGATGAATCTAACACAGAAAGATAGTGTGCCTCTTTGAATTCCCTAACAATGGAAGTTTTCAAGATCAAATAATAGACTGAGATTTAGCATAGTTCTTCATACTTCCCTGAATGCCAAATGTAAACACCTCAAACTGACTCAAGAGGTAAACCAAAACAGGGCAACTTTGCAAATTTATTTGGACAGCGGTGTAGAGTTAAATTCATTTTGACTAAGCAAATAATTATTAAGCGCCTACTCTGTGCAAGGCACTGGGCTGGGTACTGGGAGATTCAAACACAAAAACAAGTGTTCCTGCTTTTAAGGAGAGTTAAAGATAAAAAAATTAAATAATTTTTCTCCTGAATAGCAGGATCTGAAAATCCTCATGGGCATTTGGCTACCTTCATATAACAAACCAGAAAACAGGCTAGGGATTTTTGTTTTGTTTTAAAAGCAACTCTTTATAAGAGATACCTTATTTCTCCCTGCAAAAAATTACTGTTTTTAGGAAATGCAGAACACATAAGCATTCTGACACAAAGCAAACTATCATATGCTAAGAATACATCAACCAGAAAAAGGATTCAATAACTTTAGAAACAGCTTAAACTAACCACCTCTATAAGATGAGTTTTGGCAAAAAGGAGAGAGCTGTCTCAGAGCTGGCAGTATGACAAGAAACATAACAAAAATTTAACACCTCATATTTGAGGGAAGGATAGGGAGGGAAAGTGCTTCTACATGCTCATTTGCACATTGAGACTAAACTTAAAGCTTGCCTTCTCTTTGAAGAATATTTCTACTAAAGGGCTTTGAGAATTTTCTGAGGGAAGTTCCCATTTAAGTTAAAAAGTAAATATTTTACATATTTAAATTAAAAAAAAACTATAACCTTATACCTAGGGCTCTAGGAAAGGTATTATTTTTCTATTTGCTCTCTGATCTCTCCAAAACACTATTAAAAATGATTGAATTAAATGAGATATAAACATTTTAAAACCAAAATTCTCTTCTACAACTCTACTTTTATTAATAAATTTAATCTGTCAAACTCCTCAGAGGGACATTTCTAAGTGGGTTTCTAAATCTTTAATTTCATTGCTTTAAAAAAAATATTATTTATGTAGGGGCAAGGAATTACAGTCAAAACCTAAAGAGAACACTCCATCTTTCTCATTTCAGTTAACATCAAAGACCAGCTTTCTTTTGTACTTTGAGATTATGGATGGCAGGCACAAATACATGAAAATGAAAAACCAAGCCACTGTTACATCTGTTCTATATTTACAAGAAAGCATAAAACAGGTTATTTTTGGTAACTTTTAAGACAAACAACTTTTCTTTAATACATTTTAACATCACTGTCAGATGAATCCACTGTCCCTTATATTAAAGAAATTGTTGCTTACATTAACTGTGTCACTTAAAGTATAAATCTGTTCCTGTTCCAAGCCCCATTCTCCCTCATCCTCATCTTCAGGTTCAGCTTCGGACCCATTACGAGTATTTTCATATAAAAAGACTTGCTCATCCACATGAGCTGGAGCTAATCTGTTCCTCTTAGCACTTACAACATTGGCAGATGAACCAAAAAGTCGTTCGGGGAAGACCCTCGTAGCTAAAATACACCAATACTTTTGAAGTACCTTTGGTAAGACGGGAAACAATGCCAATCGGTCAGACCACCATTTAAGTGGATCTTCACTTAGGCCAAGTACTTTTTGAGACTTAAAGTTACTCAATTCCTCCACGATCTGGGCATGCCATTCCTCTTGATCTTCCACACCCCCTGTTTGGCAGAAGATTTCTGCCAGCATGTTATTAATTGCACTAGTCGGAGGTGGGGTGGAAGAAATGATCATTTTTTTCACCGGTGGCTCTTCAGATAATGAAAAGAGCTTTTCTTCGGGCCTGAAATTATTTTCTTTTACTTTTTCCAAAAGACTTTTTGCTTCCTCTACAACTCTGTTTTCAACCTGCTGCCGTTCAAATGCAGAAAGGAAAGGCAGCTTCTTGTACCTAGGGTCCAGAAATGTTGCCACATTAAGGAACATGTCTATCTCAGGGGTCTCCTGGTATGTTGTTGACAATTCTTTGGCTATCACTTCCTTTGCCATACTGATTTCTTTTGAATCATTTTCTTTGATGTTCAGGGTTGTGTTGAGAAGCATATGAAGGAGAGGTTTCACCATGCTTATTGTGGGATACTTAGATGCAGACATCATCTCAGCCACTTGCTTAAAGGGATGCAGCAGGTCCACCAGCCCCTCAATGGTGTTCCATTCACTGGTCTCCAACATAAGGTGGTGATTATTACTGTCTTCCACCAAAACAGCTGCAATGATAAACTGCTGCTCTTTCAATCGTTGCAACATGGCAAGTGTGCTTCCCCACCAGGAAACACGATCACTCACAAGCATGCAGTGCATGATGTTCTGTTGTTTCTGTTTTTCACTTAACATGTACATGGCTACTGTAGACTGCTGAAAATATTCCACCAGTTTCCGGCACCTTGTCAAGAGACTGCCCAGCTTAGGGAGCTGGAAAGCTTGTTGTATTCCTGCATTGAAAGTCTGACCCAAACAAGGCATCTGAACTGGAATATCCAGAAGTGAACAAGCTTTTACAATATCTTTCCCATAATCTGTTGTAGCACCAAAGACTTTTGTGTTGATCCCCCACTCAATGAAGATCTCATAAAGGACTCTTGTAATTGTCTCTGCAGTGTTTTCTTCAGGGACCTCGAATGTCTTTAAGCATCTTGAGTTAACAGACAAACAATGAGAAGAGTTACTATTGAGGAAATGAACTGCAAGGGTTACATAGGACCTATTCTGGTTTTGGCTTTTCCATATATCAGTGGATATTCCACACCACAAAATGTCTGTCAGTTCTTTCAAGACGATTTCTCTAACTGCATTGTACTTTTCAGGAATTGCTTTTGTACAGAAATATTTTCTGCTAGGAAGTTCATATCTTGGATCTGCTGTTTTCAAAAGCATCTTAAATGTAGGCTCATCCACTATGGAAGAAGGATACATGCCTTCACAAATTAGGCTAATCACAGCAGAGGTCAGCTCCTGGTGCTTTTTGTTTTCATAGCTATGGCTGGTCTTCATAATTAAAGTGTCCTGAACAACCTGCTGTGAGGATTCTGGCTTCAGTTTCGAAAAAGCAGTAGCAAAGGCCTCCCTCATCTGTTCTGTGTTACTCTTTACAAATTCGCAAAATTCATCTGGATGATTTTTCTCCAGGTGGTATGAAAGGTTGGAAGTGTTTCCCGAATAGGCAATTTGTGCCATGCAAATACGGCAGTAGATCTTCTTCCACTGCAATATGCATCCTTCTGCATTCGTATCAAAACCGAAGTATTTCCAAACTTTGCTTTTTGCTCTCGGGTGAGCCACTAACTTTAGGTCTGATGGTGAACTTTCTAAGCTTTTATTCTCCATTGCTTCTCCACCACCGTCCTGCTTTTTGATCCTTCACTCATTAATGAGTACCTGCTAAAAAGCAGTAACATAAACAAAAAATGAGAAAGTACTCCTGGTGCGATCACAGTTTCACTACAGAACTGAAATCAGCACGTTTGCAAATTCAATGATAAACCCACTCTTCTAACTAGATTGGGAAAGGTTAGGATGCTGTCTCCGGAACTGTGGCCTATACAAGATGTCCAGCTTGACAACTATCTCTTCAAAGCTAAAGGAGGAAGGCTCCCATTAGAAGAATCAGGAATGTTTTCTAAAAATGTTTTTTAAATAAATAAATTCAATGCTATTACTTTCACATATAAAAATCTGCTTTTGTACTAAAAAGAACATTAAAGGCAGGAAAATCTATAATTATCTTACATTTATTTTCTGATTTTTAACTGTTTAGCATTAACTGGTTTCGGTATTTGGTATTAACTGGTCTTAGCAAGCCGCACTTGGATAGGAAAGTTTTGCAGATAATCAGCAAGAGAACTTTAAACTCTATAGAAATACAAGCACGTGCACACACGCACACACACCCCTACACATATACACACACACACACACACACACACACACACACACGCGCGTACTACATGCAGACACATGCATTTACAAAGTTGTAGTAGGGCAGAGTTAGCATTTTTACTGCTAAAGCCTTGCTAGAGAATCTGATGCTACTTGAACTATAACATAAGTACGTAAGGCAAGAACTAGCCTGAAACCAAGTGGGTCAAAAAAAGCAGAAGTACCAATTTATGAGATCTTTTAATGATGCAAAAGAAAGTTATGAACAAGCAACAAACTTTCTTCTCCCATCTAAAGAGATAATAAGCAGTATTTAAAATATAGACTGTTCTGTTTATAAAAATAGTAATAATCATAAGCTTTATTGGACTAATGCTGAATATCTTAATCCTTGGAATTTTTTGACTAGCACGTCCTATACTTTTTGTTAAAAAATCAAATGAAAACAAGTTTACTTCTAGACTTGAGGTTAACAAAAACTAAAACACCATCCCCTGGAGTTTAGAAAGCAGCCAAATGCCCAAATGTTGATGTTTCCTTCATGTCCCCATTCGAGGTGCCATTTTTGTACTATAGTATGAACAACTTTGAAGAGTTTTTGGTGCTTAGTGTAGGAACCTAGCACAGAGTAGGTACTTAATAAATTCTTGTTGAGTATAAGCACCAAATCTCATTCATTTCAGTGAAATAACAAAAGTTATTTAAATTTTAGTATGTTTTTAAAAATTCTTGTGACTAATTTCAATGATTTAATGTACACATTGCGAAGATCACATCCTATAATCATGACTTCAAGACACAATACATTACTTTAATATGGCTTAGAAGGGAAAAAATGCTATGACGAACAATAGTTTAATTGTGAATCTTAATTGTTCTAGGATTTATGTTGGCAAGCATATCATTTATGCATTTTATTATTACTGTTTCCATAAGCCTTCGCTTGTATCATTTATAATGACTTAAATAAGCTATAATACAAATGGTATTTAAGCATAATGTCTCATGGATTATAAATATTCAAAGTGAGAGAGGCAGTATGATTTAATGGAAAGCATGCTGGATTTGTAGTCAAAGGACCTGGGTTCAAGTCCCAGCTCTGCTGTCTACTAGCAGAGTGACCTTGGGCAATTAACTTATCCTCTTTGGACCTCAGTTTTCTCATCTGTAAAATGAGATAGTTGTACTTCAATGAAAACTAAGGTCCTTTCCATTTCTAAACCTATCAGCTTATGATCCTATAATACATTTCAAAATTAGTCTGGATGAATATCCAAAAAAATTGTGTTTTATCTCCCCCTTTAGATTGTGAGCTCCTTGAAGACTGTCTTTCTTTCACTAATTGTATCCCAAGAGCTTAGCACAGTACCTGGTACATGATAGGCACTTAATAAATGTTTACTGGATTAGATTGGAACATGCTAATTCCTGGAAAAAGCCCACAAACTGGGCTTATTGCAAAGAATGATGTTTAACAGAAAATAAACTATAAAATATAAAGTCAATAGAAAAATAAAAAAGGAAAAAAGTCTGGTTCTGTCCTCCTTTCAATAGCTTTTAATTTAGAACTTTATTGCTACTTTTGCATGGGCTTGATATTTAAAGCAGTAAATAATAGCCTTTCTAAGGCAACTAGATAGCACAGTGGATAGAGTACCAGCCCTGGAATCAGGAGGATCTGAGTTCAAATGCAGCCTCCATCACATAACACTTACTAGCTGTGTCACCCTGGGCAAGTCACTTAGCCATGCATGACTCAGTTTCTTCAACTGTAAAAATGAGCTGGAGAAGGAAATGGGAAACCACTTCAGTATCTGTGCCAAGAAAACCCCAAATGGGGTCACAAAGAGTCAGATATGAGTGAAAAATGACTGAACCACAATAAGGACTTTCCAAATATGTTACCTTATCCTAGAACGAGAAAACCACCTCAAGTCCACACAAAAATCTCATTTCCAAAGTGCAAGGTACTGAAAATGACAACATAATGAGACCCTCATTATCTATTATCATTACTTACTTACAGGAAAGTAAACATGTCTGTGCCTTGCTTGTAATTGGCTAAAGGAGGATATGGGTAATTTTCCTCAAATTCTAACACTTTCACTTAAGAAACACAACTTTCTACTAAAAGAATGTTCACAGCCTTTGTAAGGCAAGACTTTTCTTATATAGGACAACCAAAGGAGCAGTGGCTTAGCCTACCATCTCCATAATCAAGTGGGGACATATGCCATTCTCTGACGATTTTCTCTAGAGTTCAAAACTCTACATCTGGTCTCTAAGGCACAATTCTTGTGTCCTAAATGCCCCAGTAGGGTTACAAGCCTGATATCACAAGTGACTAGAAATACTGTCCACAGTTGGGTTTTTTCTCCCATATGCCATAACACACCTTACTTAACTTTAAAGCACTTTCTTATTTGTCATAAAAAATACCCCAATCATTGGCTCTTCACAAAGCACATGGTTAAGAAGAACTAAGTGTAAATTATAATGCTTCCTCTTCATAAAATATATTTAATAAATTAACACATTACTTACAGGCATACAAACACACACATTATCACCACCTCAAATATCCTGGTAACACTGATGACTGAAACTCAAAGTCTTAAATTAAAATATTCAGTATTTTTATGATGCTTTGCAAAAATGTTCAACATTTTTATAAGGAGAAAATGACTAGATAAAAAAGAAAATGGATTCCTACATAAAATATTTTAATGAACTAAGTTATTCATTTTTAAAGCTATAGGTGCTCTGTACCAAAAAAAAAAATGCTACATTAAGTGGTTCAGATCTTTTAATCTATGGCCACATTTTTCTGGATATTGATTTCTCAAGCTCTGTATTAACAAACTTCCTCCATATAAGAAAAGACAACACATATTTTACAAGTTAACTAACAATGGAAGGTAAAATTTTTTCTATCAGAACTCCCCAGGTAAGAAATGGAGAAATCTTGTCTCTGAGACACAATTACTCAGTAGCACAGATAACATGATTTCAAAGAGATAAAACACAGAATTATTACCTGGTGTACTGCAAAGATTCCTGATCTGGGTACAAAAAGACTTAGATACTAGTTCCAGCTCCCCCATAAACTATTTGTGAACATTAGGCAATGTAACCTATTTACCTCTAAGGGCCTTCCCCATCTGTAAAATAAAGAGGGTAGACTAGATAAGCTCTAAGGTTGTTTCCTGCTCTAAAATCCTCTGGCTTTTAAGGGGTTACAAATCATTACAATGGTGAGATAGATGTTCATGTCACAATTAGCATTAGCTCATCCTTCTAAATATACTGACTAGATTTCCTGTTTTTAAAACCTGATTATGAGGTAATCTCACACCTTCAGGAAGATATTTCTACATGCATATATTTTTAAGTAAACAAAGCACTTGGAGGGGAAAAGGGATACAGTAATTACTAATGTAATAAATTATTTTTGCAAACATATAACTATCAAATAAACACTGAATGACGAACAATAATTAATGTGTTTTTGGAGGATTCACACTAATAACAATATAAATATTTTAATGAAGTTTTAACCCACTTAGAATGTTTTCCCCCTTTTTCTACTTAATTTAGGTTACAAGTCACTTAGTCTAAAGAGGTTACCAAAGTAGGCTGATACTAGGGAGGTTGGGGGCGGGGCATAGTAGCCTCAGGTGCAATTGGGGGGTGGCACTGAATAAAAATAAGGGGGTAGTAGAAGCATAACCAAATAAGAGGATAAATTTTTGAAAAATTATTCCTATATGTTTCATCTGTTATGTAACACAAAGCTGTAGTGATTACATTATTTTCCAAATAAACACACAAAATGCAAGTTATAACTGATCAGAGATCAAGTCAGCTGACAGGTCTTAACAAGCAAGTGTTGGCAGGCAAGTATGTTGAATTGTTGGGAAGTCCAGCATTCACCCGAAAGAACATGTGCATGCAATGACTTGTTTACAATAAGATACTATATGGTTACATGACCAAATATCGTGTCATCAAAATTTCAATGCAAGAAAAAAACATAATTTACACTAAATTATTAAATTTAAGATGTCATTTTTTTAAATGATGCAAATTTTTTAAAAAGCAGTTAAAGGGTTAAAGAAAGTAGATTTCTAGGGGGGTACTGAGTATTTTTTTAAAGGGGGCGACAGGCTAACTAAGTTTAGGAACCTCAGATCAAAGCTCAATTAAAGAAAACAGCCCCCACACTCACACCTTATTAAAATTATCTTTTTAAACTCCTTAGACCCCATTCAATTTCACTGTTCTCCAGAAGACTTCCAGCTACTTCCATTCTGAAATATGAAACTTGTAACTGTATTAGCAGTTTGGCAGTCTTATGATCTTTGAGCAGTTTAAGCCATCTGAAAATCCATTCAGCATTCTAAGCAATGAATTTTACAATGATAGAGATATCTGGATAAAAAACTCTTTAAAATCCAAGTTAAATTCTACTGAAGAAATAATTGTATATAGTACAGATCTTGAAGAATAAACAAAATAATGGTAATCTTTCCTAACCCACCATGGGACTATTCTAATCAAGAGGGAATGATCAACTTAAAAAAAAAAAACACCCCTTTAACAGTTTAACTTCATATATTTTTATTCAGAGATTGTGCTCCTCTGAAATGTTAGTAGCAGTTATACAACTTCTAAAACCTATTTAATTTCCTGGTTTGTGTTACATTGCAAGTTGTCTCTTGACAATTATATTATCTTTAAGCAGAAAAATTTACAAACATCTGTTTTTTTAATATTTTTCTTTTAAGATGCATGACAACAAAGTCTAAGGTGACCATTTCAACTATTTCACTTAAGAGATATTACGTCTATTACTTAACCACTCTAAATTTAATAATGTCCTTTACCAAGTAACGAATTCCTTATCAAAAAGTTTTAAAAGTCTTCTAGTACTTGACTCTCAATCCAATTCATACTAAACAATTTCTGTTCTAGTCTCATTCTCCTAACACCACCGTTTCTCAATGTACCAGTTAGACCTAGTAATTTATAATACTTTAAAGTGGGGAGGGGGAAGGTGGCATGTTTTCTATTCTGTTTTAATTACTACAGATTTTCCAAGTGTTACTTAAAGGGGGTTGTGAATGCCCCAATTCCTCTAGTCAGAAAAAGTAAGGCTAGAAAAACGTTTAGTTAACCTTTAAACTAAATTAGGCTCTACAATCTGTTTAGAAGAGTAAGGAATTCGACCTCATTTTAAACATTTTTACATATTCTTTTAAGAATAAGAAAATTTAAAAGTCAAAGAAATAAATTTATCTAATTAACTAGGTGTGATGGCATCTGGATTTTAGAAACTCTACATTCATTTCACATTTTTTTTTGGTGTGGCACATAAATAAACTTATAAAAGTTATTACCTCTTTTTACCCATTCCCAGTCTTCATCCCCTATCAACTTTAAGAAGTTGTAAATTTAATTTCTCTTCTAGTCATGCATTAAGAATCCAATCCTTACCTACAACTCAGCTGCAGCAATATTAAAGTTCTCTGGAAACCCACATTTCCTTCATATGGGCAACTGGGGAGAGCAAGATGGTAATGCTGACTGGGCAGTTCGGCAGCAAACTCAAAAGAATGAAGGAAGGCAAGAGAGCCAGGTAAAATTGGTCTAAGTTACATACTGCAGGCATGCCCTGGGTTGTCACATCCAAAAATAATCTGGAGTTGGAAAACGACCTGAGATTTGTAACCCAAAACATATAAACAAGAGGTTGCTATTTCTTACAAAGGATTTAGCAATGTTGAAGAAAAAAAAAAAGCCAAGCCATAAGAGGCCAACTCTCCTAGCCCTCAAGAAGCAAAAGAAGATGAGACCCTGAAAGTGGCTGAGACAAAGCTTGGGGGAGGGAAAGGGAGGGTGCGCAGCAAGCAGAAAAGGCAGGTCGGCCAAGTGTGCAAAGCAAGGGGGAGGGGGGTGCGAAGAGGGGTGGGGAGGAGGGAAGGAGGAGGAGGAGCCGGGCTGCTGCCTGGGCTAGGCCGGAGACTGGCCTCCGTCCTCACCCCCCGCCCTCACCCCCCGCCCCCACGCCACCAGCCCCACGGCCCACAGGATTACGGGAGCGGAGCTAGTGGCCCCTGCGGAGGACCAGGCAACCAGGGACGGTGATGGTGCGGCCGGGAGAAGCCAGCCAGCCCAGCACGGGGCGCGTGCGCGCGAGACCGGCTTCCGAACTCTGTCTGGGGACCGGCGATTCGCGCTTCCGCCCAGCCTCCCCTCCCCCCAAATCCTCCCTCCAGCCGTGGCCCCTGGAGGGGGAGGGGGTTACAGGCTCCGCCTAACGTGCTCCCGCCCCCCACCACGCACCAGCCCAGCAGGGGTCGGCAGAGCCAGGGGGGGCAGAAAGCTCATTTTTTTCGGCCAGGCCAAGGTCAAGGTTTCGGGTGCTGCGGCTGCAAAGCCAGCCCCCGGGGTTCCCCCGCTCTCCTCCTCTCTCCTTATCCTCAATTCCCCAGGTCACAGACTGAGGGGGAGAGGGGGAGGAGTAGAGCAAAGCAGAAAAGGGGACTCTTCTCTCTGCCACCTTTACCCCCCACCCAGGTCCCGGGCTGCTGCTTCCAACAACAGAACAAACCACTCCATCCAGGCCGGGTCGGACGGAGGAGGAGGCTGCAGAGGACTCGGGGAAAGGCAAAGGAGTGGGGGAAGAACACACACATACGCACATACACGCACACGCACACGCACACGCACACCCCCCAGGGGAGGAAAGTTCGCAGGCTGCCGAAAGAAGAAAGGCACCGCCGAGAAAGCGAGGCCCAGAATCAGGGTCCAGCCTCCCCCACACCCCTAGCCTCCGTAATAAAGGAGGAACGAGAAGGAACACCCTCTTCTCTCCTTCCTCCGCCCTCCCCCAACACACACACACACACACACACACACACACACACACACACACACACACACACACACACACACACACCCCTCTCCCAGATGCCCCGGACCACACCTGACACACACATGCCGGAGAGTCCCGAGGAAACCAAGCGGGGCCCATTTGCTAACCTGGCAGAGAGAAGCCGTAGCGGCAGCGCTGGTAGAGCTGCGACAGGATCACGAGCACGCCCGCATAATGGACCCTGAAGGCCGGGAGGATCCGAGACAATAGCGACATGGCTGCTCCCCTTCCTCTTCCTCCTCCTCCTCCTCCTCCTCCTCTCCGCCGCGCAGACGGGAGGGGTGGCGGCGGCCCTGCCTCTGCCTCCGGCCTGGCCTGGCCCGCACCGCCGAGCCCACACCCAGCGGAAGCGAGCACTCCTCGCCCGCACAGTTCAGCTAGCGGCGGCCGCCGGCTCTGGAAGTCTGAAGCGGGACTCTGCCCCGATCCCGACCCCGGGCGCCTCGCCCTTCCCCTTGAGGGCGAGGCCGGGGGTGGGCGCGACGCCGCTCTGCCCCCAGCCCGCCTCCGCCCCGGGCTCCTGGGTCCGGCCGCCCCGTGGTCACCCCAAGTCCCCGGGTCTGAACCAGCCCCTCCCCCGCCCCCGCCCCCGGAGCTTTCAAGGGCCTTTTCTGCCCCGCGGCTTCTGGGCATTGGCCGCGGGCTGGAGCCGACTGCTTTGTGTGGTCCAGGACCCCAGAGACGTGGTGGAAGTGGAGGTTGGGGGAAGTAGGCCCCGGTAAAGAGGCCCCCCAGAGGCCGAAACTGAGGGGAAAGGTAGGGGCGACCAGGGTGCCATTTTTAAAGGCTGCTGATGCGTGAAGACAGGTGGAAACCAACCTCTGCCCCTCCTCAGAGGGTCCAAGGAGACACCACTCCCACATGTGACTCACCAGAGGCCAGGGACCCTCTTTTTGCATTCCCAGCGCTTAGCAGGGCCTGGCACGTAGTTAGCGTTTAATAAATGTTTATTGATTAATTAAAATCAAACTTCTGCCCTCTCCTTAGAGAAGGTCCATTGCAGACATAACCAGCATTTGAAAACCTTGAGACCAAGGACTGGCTTTTTGCCTCTTTTTGCATCCCAGTGCTTAGCACAGTGCCTGGCATGTAGTAATAGTTTAATAAATTTTATTGATTGATTGAAATCAAACCTCTGCCCTCTCCTTAGAAGATCCATTGGAGACACAACTTGTACACGTGATTGACCAGAGGCCAGGGGACTGTCTTTTTACCTTTTTTGGCATCTTCAGTGAGGTCCTTTAATAAATGTTGATTGGTTAATTATTAATATACTTAAACTAAAACCACTGGTTCTGTTTTCCCCATTTGCTCTCTCACAGTATCTTTTCCAAGAGCCACTTTAGTCAGTCAAGAAATGTTTATTAAGCATTTAGGAAGTGCTGGGTGTGTTTACAAAGAAAAGTCAAAAAGATGACTGCACTGGAGGACCTCTAGTTCTAATGAGGGAAACCAAATAAAAATAACTATGTACATTCAAAACATATGCAACAGGGCATATGTAAGGTAGTCTCCAAAGGAAGGCATTAGCAGTAGGGATGACCAGGAAAGGCCTCTTGCAGAAGGTAGGATTTGATCAGTCTTGGAGGAAGCAAAGGATGCCAAGAGGCAGAGATGGGGAAGAAGAGAGCATTTCAGTATCTGAATTCAGTCAACTGCCTCTAAAATTCTAGAGTTCAATGGCATGAAATAGATGTGACTGTGAGTTCCAGAAAGATGTGCCAGTGGCAGATCCCACACTAAGCTGAAAGGGCTTCAAGTATGGACCCCCCCCCATGAAATGTAGTTTTGCTAAAAGACTAATCTAGCCAATTTTCCAGAACCTCATCACCAGGTTAGCTTCAGGATAATTAAATGTTTTGCACACAGGGACTGTCAAGGATGATCTACTAGGTCACATTGAGCATTTAAGATCTTTAAAGGTAGAAATGAGTGCCCATGACAAGGAAATTACAGATTGTTGAAGTCTTGTCAAGCATTCAGTCCAACTCATTCAGTCTTCACTTATTTCCTCTCTCAAGAACCATTAAAATGGAAATGATAGTGAAGAGCACTTTTGAATAAGAAGAAATAAATTCCATTGGCCTTTGGAAGGCAGCCTGAAACACACAGAAAATAAAGGTGAAAGAGTGTGCAGCACAGGCCCTTGGTACAAGTTGTATTAGTAAGCAATATAAATGATATGCAAATCAGCTAAGAACAGTATAAATTATACATAATAGATAAGAACAGTACACATTATAATAATATATTTAAAAGGTCATAGATTCTCAACAAAATATGAATGTTTATCATATTACTCAATGCCTTTTTCATCTAGCAACTCCGATCTAATTAATACCACAGCTTTATGAAGCAGATCCTGCAGTCAGCAGATATATTACAACCTAAACATCAGGTCTTCATACAATACTGCCTTCTATAGAAAGAAATAGAAACTATGAAGGTGCGTCTCATTGGTTTTCACTCTGGGCACTGGTGTGAAATTGAAATTTTTAATTCTGTTGTGTTAAGACTTAAGCTAGATTTAATATTCCCCTTTGCGGTTTCTTACCTTTGCAAGTTTACTCAGGTAACCTTAGGTCACTTGGGTCACAATTCTATTTTTGTGATTCTAGTGACTGGTATCTTCACCCTTGTTTCATGACTTGACCTTCCAATCAGTCTTTTACTTTATGGCCAATCAGAAGAAGACACACCTATGCTGCTCAAGATTTTGCTCTGTCATCTTGTTAATCACTATAAAAGACCCTGTCAGCCCTCATTCTGTGTCTTTGGTCATTGAGAGGCATTGACCCTATTTATTTGCAGTCTAAACTAGCCTTGCTAATAAATGGATCTCAGAACTTTGTTAGAATTTCTTTCATTAATCCACAGACAAATAAAAGGAAAAACTAATCAATAAAATGGGGAAAAGATTTCATATACCATACCCAATCTTCTAACCACATGTCCTAGTAAAGTGTCATTGCTTAGCTTAACTCTAATTTCTTCCTAAACATACCTTTATGGGTGAGCTAATACTTGGCCTCCTTGGAATCTGAAGCCTTTTAGCATCTGGGGATGATAGCATCATAAAAGGATGTTTTATTCACGTAGGAGCATAATTTCAGAGTTAAAAGGAAGCTTACAGATTATCTCATACAATACCCTCATTTTACAATCGAGGAAACTGAGGCCCAAAGAAATAAGATGAGTTACCCTGGGTTACACAAAAGCAGGCTAGCCTTTGGTCATCACAGGCAAATACTTGTCAATCCATCTATGGTATGCACACCTGTGCAGTAGGAAGGCCTTATGCCCTCAAAACTACAAGGTGGTGGTAGAAGCTAATATACCAATGCATTCTTGGTAAACCAACCGATAACATCTGGGGCAGAGGAGAAGATATTAATGTATTACCAAATTATTCCCCTTGTATATTGTTCAAGGATACCAAAACCTCCTATCTTTTTTAAAAAAACCCAAAGTAGGGTCAGCTAGGTGGTGAAGTGGATAGAGAACTGGCCTTGGATTCAGGAGGACCTGAGTTCAAATCCAGCCTCAGACACATAACACTTACTAGCTATGTGACCCTGGGCAAGTCACTTAGCCCCATTGCCTAGCCAAATAAAAAAAAAATCCCAAAGTAATCTTACAAAAGGACAAAGTTAATTGAGTGTTTAAGCTGGGGAGTTATTGGCTAACCAGGATTTCAAGACTGCTCTTCTGACTCTCAGTCCAGTCCTGTTCTTTGACATTGGGAACACTGGTCTGAGGATAGGATTTACAATTACAAATCATCTTAGAGATAATACAACAAACCTTTATTAAGCTCTTACCACTGTGCTATGTACTAGGAATACAAGTACAAAGCATGAAATAATCCCTACTCAATATGAGTTTACATTCTAAATGGGGAAATACATTCATATGAAAACATATGCAACATAAAAATAAAATATTTTATATAAATGTATGCATACAAGTGTGTGCATATATATGTACACAAAAATGTGTGTGTGTATACACACACAGAGCTTAAATGCAATGCACTATGGGAAGAAGGGCACTAGCAGCCTAGGGATCAAGAGAGGCTTCATATAGAATATTATGTCTGAGCTGCTTCTTAAGGGAAGACAGGGACTTTACAAAACTGAGGTAAGGAGAGAGTGCATTCCAGGCATAGGGTATGTTCATTGCAAAAGCAAAGAGTTGGGAGATACAGTAATATGAGTGAGGAACAGAGAGAAGACCAGATAAGGAAATTGATGCTCAGAATGTTTCAGTGACTTGCCCAAGGTCACACACATACTAAGCAGCAGAACAAGGATTTGAACCTAGGTCCTATTACTTCGAATCCAGTGCTCTTTTCATTTGCTTTTATCCAGGGCAAGACACTTTCCTTTATTTTTAGGATAAGTGAGGAGATACACTAAGGGAGCTTTCAAAGAAAAAAGAAATGTTGATTCCTATTGCCAGTATGTGGTCCCTGAGTCAAGGCAAAACTCAAAAATTTAATGAGGCTGACTTCTGCCTAGCAACAATAAGAGGTTGGCCTAAATCTAAATCTACCCAGTAACAGGGGCCTCTATCTGCTGACAAGAAAACCTTGTTATTTTCTATGTACGTGACTAACCCCTATGGTTTATGCCCATATCCTTGAATGTTGCAAGTTAAGTTCCCTGTTTTGTGACCACATCCCTGAACTGTTTTGTAAAGTACCCAGCACACCTGCTTCCCCTTTCCTGTCTCCCTTTACACACCTGTTTCCTCCTTTCCTGGGGTTAACAGCCCAGATAGGAGCATACCCCTCCCCAGGTGAGTGCCCAAAACTTGGGTATAAAAGCAAGCTTCTGTCTTCATCTCAAACTGCTAGTACTCCTAAGGATTAGCCTGCTGCTTTTGGATCAATAAAGCCCTCTTGCTTCTTGAATTCTTTCCGGACAACCAGACTCCAAATTTCATCTACCTCTTCACATTCACTCGAGGGCATTTTGTTTTCAACGAATTGAAATCCTTAGGTTTCCCTGACTCCCATCTAGCCTCACTTCTTCTTTGTCAAGTCTCCACCTAGATATGCCAGGACCTGTTTACCAAGTATGTATTAACATGCTGACAT